ATAATTTTCAGCTGACAAATATCCTACAGTTTTTGTTATTTTTAACATTTTTGAATTGAGTGACTTCAAAATTCCCACTCAAACCCCTGAAACGATATGGACGACATCTGCTGATCCGATTTTTTTCGAAGATAAACGGTGAGAGCATTTCGTTGTCTATATTTTCATTTGTCTATGGTTTGAGTGGCCAAATTTACGGAGAGAGAAAAATCTCAAAACCAGACGGAATAACAACCAATACGATTTAGACCGTAATACTACACAATTTTATTCGGTTTAATTTTGTATTACAAGTTAAGGGTTAATTTGTTGCTCAAATTTACGTTAACAAATGAAAACGCATAAGAATGTGTTCAATCTTACAGAAAAAGTTAAGAAAATTCAATGTCAGACCTTGCAATCGCAAATAGTTTTCACGTTTGAAAACTTGAAAAAGAATACAGGAACATTGAAGAATACACGCAAACATTTTGGCCGCAGACCTTGTACATTCCAACAGGACTCAGCACCATCGCACTCAGCATACGCCACCCAAGAATGATTAAAAAATGAGGTTCCTTGCTTCATTTCCTGCGCATAATGACCATCAAAATCTTCGGATACCAATCCGTTGGACTATTGTGTCTGGAGTATTTTGGAAAGGTTGGCACTAAAAAATACCAATGTGTCGATCACCTCAAGCAAGCGCTTCGCCCGGAATGAGCAAACATACCGCAGCGTGTGACGGTTTCATTGGCCGTTTGAAGGCCATAATTCGTGCCAAATCTAAACTTATTCTAAAATTTGATGCTATTTCCGACAGTTTTCGCTTTCATTCAATAAAATTTAAAAAAAAAAAAAATTAAAAATTATGGTTTTTGGCTTTGTTGCAGTTTTTTTATCTCACCCTGTATTTTGCAACAATTTTAACGAATTTACATGATTTTTCATTCAAAATTGGTTTGACAGTTCATTGACCCCGCAGCTGTGTCGATGCGACCACCTGTATTTTTCTACTATGTTTTTATACCCTCCCTCTAGGGATACGTATCTCGACTTAAAAATGGCAAAGTCGACTTTTTGCAATCGATTTTGAGATCAATTAGCCTTATCATTATTATATTTTGGTAGAACTTAAAAAATCAATTTTTGTCGACTTTGGCTTGAAAAGTTGAAATCGAAAATCGATTCTTATCTGATTAGGAAAACTCAATAGGTCGAAAATCGACTTTTCGCTAAAAGCCAACTGTCAACTCTGAGATAACTTCATTGCAAAGAATGAACGGAAACAGAAAATTAGTAATAATATCAAAAATTATGGCAGTTCTTTTAAATCAACATATCAATAGTGCGATTCTCTAACACATTTTTTGAGTTACCGACAGAAATCGTTCGAATTAACATGCTGATAATTTCGGTAATTAACGACAATATTCGGCAAGTTAGCAAGAAAAATAAAGTTCTCGCTAAGTCCTACCGATAGCAACAGTGCTGCCAATTTTAATTTTGACTTTTCATGAAGTTGGTAATCACGATACTACTTTTATTCGGCCAAATTTGTTTACCCAGCGTTTACACGTGAAAGTTACAGTTCAGAAAAACCAAAAAAAAAAAACTCATACAAATACACTTCCAGTACAACTGCCCAGTGCCTTTGATGACGTGACGATTTCAAATCTGTCTTTGCATGTGTCAACGAATTTCGATTATACAATATTGGGTATAGAATTCGTATATGTATGTACATTTTTAGGCCGTTTTAATTCGATGAAGAATTTCTTCAATGTTTGTTGGCTTGTTTGGCTTAAGGCCAATAACATATGGTTTATTTTATTATGGCTCTATGGTATTGTTGTTCTTGTGTGTGTTTGTTGCCTAGTGTCTCCGTTCGATTTGATGGATACCTATATAGTTTTAAATAGAATTTTTTATATAGAGATGTCAAAGGCATTATTATACACAGTCTTATATCAGGATTATTTAGGACAAATAAATTTATTTCCATGGGGGTTTTCAAATTTTTCTGCGAGTGTTTGGAACATGACATGAGTTATACAACTAGGAGGATGTGGTTTGGTATTATCATACCGCTTGAATTTAGGTGTTTCTTGCTTAAAAAAAAAATCTGAAGAGGCAAATATAGTGTGATACTTTGATTTTTCATTAATTTTTAATTATTTCTTTGCCTGGTTGACATTAACTATTCCTTCTATATTCCTTCGAATATAGGTCAAATAAATGACGATAAATGATAAAACGCGTAATATAAATGTCCGTGTAAATAAGGTTAGGATTTACGTAGAGAAAAATGTCCAATGTAAGTTGGGCGAGGCCGAACTTTTAATACCCTCCACCATTTGGAACAAATTTGGCAAATTAAAAAAAAAAACCTTTTAAAATGCTGTTTAAATCTTAAAAATACCGAATGTTAAATACCAAATTTGAAACAATTCCGGTAAATAAGACTCTAAAATCACGAAAATACCGAATATCGAGAGGTGCTGTTATATGGGGGCTATACGAAGGCGTGTCATAGGCTGTAGTATCCATTACGAACTTTAAATACCAAATTTGAAAAATTTCCGGTGAATAATTTCACCGAAATCAACAAAATACCAAAATTAGGGAGTTACCCTAAAATGGAGGCTATATCAAAACGTGGACCTACATGGCCCATTCTCAATACAAAAATATACATTTGGGTAAAATTTTATCAACCTACTTCATTTCGTTCGGAAGCTAGAGTGATTTTCACAGACGGACGACATACTTACATACTTTGCAAGGTCTAAAATTTATGTTTCAAGGTGTTACAAACAGAATGACAAACTTAATATACCCTCCATACTATGGTGGAGGGTATAAATGATTTTATGTAAATAGACCCAATATAAACGTCATCAAACCATGCAGTCCCAATTCACACATTGCAAGCTTGGCGTTAGGAAAAATTAATTTTTTGAAAAGCTATCCTAAGCAAAAGTGATATTTGCCTTGTGAAATTCCCCCATTTCCAACAAAACTCACTTTTCTTTCCCATTCACTTTCCCCACGTGTGAATTGGGCCTATACTTTTCTATAATGATTTAATGGCCATCCCTATTTAAATATATATGGCATCACTGTTTTCTTCGTTTATTGTCATTGACACTTGTGACATTTCTCCATCATCCGTGCAGTCTACTGAAATTATGACAAACTACCGTTGCAAGTGCAACAACTAAACGCACACACACACAAACACATCACAGAGTGTTGTATTTTTCCTTCATTCTTTTTGATACCAATATTCCCTTTCCTTATTTTTCTTTTCTCCACTTTTTTGTTAATATTTTCATTCATACTTTTATCGCACTTTTGTTTAACAAAACAAACAGAAGATTTATTTTTTAATGAGAGCTTTATCTTTTTGTCAGAGAATATACCTTTTGAAAAGAATGAGAGATATTTTACCAGTCATGTGAGAGTACTCTTTGTACTGCACTCTGTTTACTAAAGAAACAAATAATGCGCGCGCAAATAGATATTAAGAGCGCTTCAGAGAGTAGATGAGAACATTGGAATTGTTTGTGTTTTTGTTGTGGGTTAAAACAAGCACACAATAAAAACTACGAGAAAGAAAAATTACTACTGCGTTGAATTTGCAAAAAAAAAAAGAATGGAAAAATATATATTTTATAACCTCTAAATTATGTGTGCGTGTTTTTTGATGTTTTTTGTGCCCCCCTCAAGGAAATGCTGCAATACACATTGTCAAGGAATTATACAAATTTAGGTTATTTAGTAAATTAACCACATGATTTTGTATTATTGTGACCATTGTTATTATTAGCAAGCGGAGGGTGTTAAAACTCCAGGCAACAATTTTAACACAATTTCTTTAAGTAACAATAAACAGCCTCTGTTATAGCTGGCCCTCCTCTCCAGCACACATTTCGTCTGGCCCATTTTGGCCAGTCGCTGTAGTCGATATGCTAATTGAATTAATAGTAGTAAATACAATGGCAACAAGAAAACATGATTGTCAGTCGGATTCGGTCCCTGCTGCCGCTTGCTCTTTAAGTGGCTGTCGCTGGCTCTTTATTCTTCAATCATATGTTTTCTGTACACGACGGAATGTATGTAGGTAGTAGGGAAGAAAACATCAGTATCCATTCTACTTTGTCTTAATGGCAGAAAGAAAAATCTAAACATTGTTATGAAATATAGGTACAGTCATTGGACTGAATGTTTGGCGCAGCCAGCAACTTATGAATGAAATCAATATTTTCAGCTGCACGACAACCAAGGCAAGAAAATAAATACTTAGCACCAACTCCTTGCTCTTCACTCTCCCCCACCACGATTTGGTGATATGTACCTATTGATACCAAACCAAGTTTTCAGCTGACAAGGGCAACAGACATCCTTGAAATTCTTATCGTTGCCAATGTTAGCTGGCTGGCTGGCTGCCTTATTACATGTGTAGGACTGGCCAACAGACAACCACTGGTTGTAAAACCAGATTTCGGTTCCCGTGTTTTGAAACCGAATTTCCGTTAGACACACAACGCAATTGACACCTTGAATGAACGAACGATGGATGCCCACATTATTATGGAATGTGGAGGCAGGCATGTGCTTTCCATGTGTATAGTAGGTTGGAATATATGGACACCCCAGGAGAAAAAAATAACCACTCACAAGCACATTCACACATCGAAAAATTAAACAAAATTAAATTCACGTGTTTCTTTTGTCTCACTTTTTTCTGGTTTTTTGCTTGTTCTTCTTTCTTTGTGACATCACACAATTTCCATTTTATTTAATTTAAAACACAATTGTTTTAAAATTTCAATAGATTTTTTTCAAAGAGAAAATGCTTTGTTTTCTTCTGTTTTTTGTTTTTTTTTTTCAATTCAATTCTGCTTAATTATTTTACACTTTGTTTTCCTTCACATTCACCTTTTTTATTTAATTATTTTATTTTTTATTAACCCTTCTCTTTATTATTTTTTTTTGGTTTTTTACTTTGTACTCACCATGTTTCCAAGTTGCTGAATTTCTTGGTGACCACTTTGCCCAAATCGATACCCAAACGGTCGACAATCCTTTGGGCCAGATCTGGATGCGATGTACCCGAAAACACTTTAATGTTTGGCATTCTGGAGTGTAATGAATTTAATGTGCTGGCTTGTTTCTCCAAATTGTCGCGTATCAAACTTTTTGCGCGTATCGGATTAGCAGATCGAACTGGCATCACACAATCTACGAGTACAAGTTTTTATTACAAAAAAATAATATAGGGAAACGAAAAGAAATGTAGACACGCTCACACACACAGCAACAGAACAGCCAATCAACACACAGAAAAAAGCAACAAATTGTTCTCATTCTCAAACGCTCAGTTCTCTTTTCAAACACACACATACACACACTCTCATAATATTGAATAATTCCCTTAAACGAGACTACTATTGTGAAGAGACTCTGATTGAAAGAGTCGTTGTCATGCTCATTAGTTGGCAGGTAACATTTGAATTTTCAAAAGAAAAAAAGGTTTATTCTCGGATTGCCATTGTTCTCTTTTTACAAAAAAAAAAAACAGACGCAATTCCTTTAGGAGACAATAACAATGTTTTATGGGTTTATGGTTTTCGAAAAACCTATTGAAACAATGTGTGTTTCTAAAATTAGAGAGTTGCTAATGCAGCTATAAATACAGTGGCTCAAACAAGTAATGTCTGTAAAGTGGAGTTTTAATTAATTGAGATCGATTTTTATTAGATATCCGTTCTCAGATATTCTGGGTAAATCACTTCTTGCAGACCGATATTGGAATCACTCTTTTACTATATTTTAAATAGTACAAGTTGTGTTCCAAGGTCTGCAAAATAGTGCTATTTTTCCGCATCATAAAGAAACAAGTAAAAAACATTAAGATCGGCCGGGCCGAACTTTTAATACCCTCCACCATTGGGAAAAAAAAATTAAATAAAAGTATCTGAATTCAAACGTGTTCCCCTTTAAACCACAAATACCAGTAAGACCATTTTCAAAAAAAAAACATAAAGTGGGTGAGGTCGCTACCAGAGGGCTGCAACGACTATGCAAAAATTCAAGCATACTCGGTTTCTTACATGATTTTTGTTGATGCAGTCGTTTAGTTTGATCTGAATGAAATGACCGTTTTCGCTTCTGATCGAATCGAACGCTCAGTTTGAATCACTTCACTCACAGTCAAACATGAGCGTTCGAGACGGTTTGATGTGTTCAGCAACATGAGTTGATCGAAACATGAATGTAAATGAGCAATCACAACCGTGATTGTCTTCTTTGAATCGAGTTCGCTCGGCGTCATTGTTTATTCAACCATTTAATCAAGTTGGGACAGTTTATTTTGACTTTTTTAATATTTGAAATGGAACAATATTGTGATGGTGCGACCGAAATTGTTGCAAGTAGAAACTACACAGGTGTAGGTAAACGAAAAGGTCGAAGTTTGTGAAAAATCTTGACCAATATTGTAAAATAAAAAAATATTTAAACATTTTTAGTTTTCTAAATACCAATGATGTGTTTCTTTATTAAAAAATTTAATTTTGTTTTTTTTTTTTTCAAATAAGTTACTGAAGTCTAGCATACCAAAAACCCAAATAAAATGAAAAATTGTATGCTTATTAAATATAATTTGTACCAATTTCTTTAATGGGGACATCTTTTAGTTATGAAATCCTTAGTAAAATTACAATCATGATTTCGCTCAAATTCGAACATTTGTGTTTTGATCAAATCAAATCACTCACTTATCTAGGATAAATAAAACCGATCAGACTCATCATAGATGATCGACCCGTTATGAACAATTCAACATAAGTTCGTAAACAAATAACTCATGTGAGCTGTTTGATTGCGATCACAAAACTTCGATCAATACATGTTTGATCACAACGTTTTCGTTTGGCTTGAATAACTCGAATGAACATGTTGCATCTGACCGACTGATTGGATTTGATTGTATTTCCACTGTGTGTGATCAAGCCTACTCAATCATACTCATTGCAGCCCTCTGGTCGCTACCAAATATTCTTAAAAAGAAAAACGTGGACCTACATATACTCTGTTCCGCCACTGAAGCTAGAACCCATTGTGAACTACAAATACCAATTTTTAGACAAATTCGTTGAAAAATATGCCAAAACCGTTATATATGGGGCTATACAAAAACGTGAACCAATACATACATGTTTCGCCACTGGAGCTATAACCCATTACGAACTACAAATACCAATTTTTAGACAAATCCGTGAAAAATGTGGCAATGTGGCATTATAAAAATACGGAATAGCAGAAGGTACCGTTATTTGGGGGCTATGCGAAAACATGAACCGATTTATCTCATTTTCAAAACCAACCATCCAATTACGAACTACAAACAGCAATTCTTAGACAAATCCGCAAAAATCGTCAAAACACCGAATATTTGGAGGTACGGTTATATGGCGGGTTTACCAAAACTTGGAAGATCTACGTCAAATAATGACTGTGTGGAGGGTATAAAAATGGTGGAGGATATACAAATGGTTACAGCAGTAAAATGTTTTCTAACTAGTTCTGGAAGAAAATATCAACAAAAAGTAAACAGATGGTCTGTTCCAGCACTGCAATCATGTAAAAGTTTTGCTACGATAACCGATTTTCCTTTTATAATATCGGAAAAATTGCAAAACTAGTAGATTCTTGCAGGTTCTGGATCAGACCAAGAATTAACGAAAGTTATCGATAACAACAATTTTTCAATTATTTCGATATCATAAAGAAAAGTCGGTTATCGTAATAAAATGTTTTACATTCTTGCAGTTCTGGGACATCTGGAACTTGTAATTTCGGTAATTAACCAAATTTGTCGCAAAGTTAGCGATAACAATAGTTACTGAGACTTAGCGATAAAACAGTTGCTCTGTTCCAGAACTGTTTAGTATATACTAGTTATGTAATTTTTTCGATATCATAAATTAAAAATTGGTTATCGTAGTAAAAAGTTTTAAATTTATATATGCAGTTTTGAAACACAGCAAGTGTTGTTGGCTTTTATTTCACTTTTTACATGACAATTTTGTGTTTTAAAGTTATCGATTTTTGTCGACAATAAATTAATATTAAGATACATTTTACAAGGAGAGATGCTACCCGACATGAGCTTTTAAAGAGGATAAAAACAGTTCAAGGAATAAAATATCCATTTTTGTTTAATTATTCTATTCGAGTTTTGACTGGTGTTAAAGAAAAAATGTTAAAAAATTAAGAATTATATAATATATTGAAATTAAATGATCTACTTTTAATATCAACCATGGTAGAATTAAGAAGGTAAAGTCATGCCATCATATGATTCATTTTTTTTTTTTTTTCAGAATTATTCATTTGACAACATCTTATTGTCAAAATTTATGTTTATAAATGCATTGTATACACAGAAACCAGAGAGGGGAACTTGTTTTTTATTAAGTGAAATTTGACAAAGTAAATTACGGAAAATGCAGAGATGGATAGTCTTTTTTGAAATGACTTTAACTTCTTAATTTTACTATTAATTTTGAGTTTGGTTATTATAAGCATAAAAAATGTCACATATATTGACCAAATGCAACCTGTAACCTCTTTACATTATAGTAAGTCCCTAGCACGCATCTCTCTTTCCTCTTAACGTTCTCTTTTATTTTTATATTGGCATGATATGGAATGTTATTTCTCATTTGCGCATGTTGACCTTTCCGGAGTAAACAAAAGTTGTTATATTTTTTTTACTTTTTATTAATACCTAAAACAAAAACCAAAAGTTTTCAAACCTTTTGTGTAATTCAGCAAAACATAACCTCACGTTTGTTTGGCAATTCTCTTTAACGATTTCTCTTAGAGATGACACAACGATGATAAAATAAAACAAACAATAATACTTCAAAATGCCGGCAAAATAATAACAAGATAAGACACATCCAGAGACATGGAAACAAGTGGGAGCCGGAGGTGGTGACAATTAATAATTACGTAGACATTTTATGGTTGTTTGCGTAGAGGCGTTATCGATAATGTGTCAATAACAATCAAACATCAATTTCATTATGGAAAAATATGGTCTACTCTAGATAAGTAGAAATAGGTATGTACAGAAAACTGTGTGCTGATAAGGACTCCTGAGTCGGTAGCGACTATCTGTAAACTGTTTGGACTATATACAGAAGGATATAAGGCGGGCCAGGGTACTGGGATCGGCAATATTTTTCGGTAACTCAAAAAATGTGTTAGAGAATCCCACTACAGGTGATTGCTATGACCATGGTTACAATTGCTCTGTTCCAGAACATGCAAGAATCGACTATTTTTACACCTTTTTCGATATCATAAAGGAAAAATCGGTTTTTTTGTGGTAAAAAGTTTTACATTCTTGCAGTTCTGGAACAATTTGATTACTTTGTATAATCTTGCCATGTCCATTTCTTTTCGTTTTCAAATTTTTATAAGAACTTTGCACAAATTATGGAATTTGGGAGTAAGGTCAAATTTCGAGCTGAAATACAATTTTATCATGGTTGGTGGCCAAAATGTTATATTTCGGGATATCATTAGAAATGGGTAGGCAGTGTTCTAAAACGATGTATGATTTAATGTGAACTACCCTATTAGTCATTAGATTATAAGATATAAATTAGTGTGAATTTTCCAAATATCGATCATCTGTGGATTAGCTGATTAAATGTGTAGTATTAGCTATTGTCATTTTGTAACATCCCTAAATATTCATCGTAGACCCCATAAAGTATATATATTTATGATCATTATTTGGCACAACAATTTGTATTGTGTCTAGGATGGTTGATATTGAAAATGAGATATATCGGTCCATGTTTTGGTATAGCCCCCATATAACAGTACCATTCAGTATTTTGATGATTTTTGCCACATTTGTCCACGGATTTGTCTAAAAAATGGTATTTGTAGGTCATAATGGGTTCTAGCTCCGATGGCGAAACATTGTATGTGTAGGTCCACGTTTTCGTATAACCCCCATATAACGGTACCTCCCAATATTCGGTATTTTGATGATTTTTGCCACATTTTTCCACGGCTTTGTCTAAAAATTGGTATTTGTAGTTCGTAATGGGTTCTAGCTCCGGTAGTGGAACATTGTATGCATAGGTCCCCCTATATAACGGTACCTCCTCATATTCGGTATTTTGATGATTTTTGCCACATTTTTGAACGGATTTCTCTAAAAATTTGTATTTGTATGTCATAATGGGTTCTCGCGCCGATGGCGAAACATTTTCGTATTTTGATGATTTTGCCACATTTTTCCACGGATTTCTCTAAAAATTGATTTTTGTAGTTCATAATTGGTTCTAACTCCGGCGGCAGAACATTGAATATTTAAGTCCCCGTTTTCCTATAGCGCACATATAACGTTACCCACCAATATTCGGTATTTTCCTATAGCGCACATATAACGTTACCCACCAATATTCGGTATTTTGATAATCCTAGTCACATTTACCCACGAAATTGTTTCAAATTTGGTATTCAAGAAGATTTGGTAGATGACAATCCTTGAAGTATAAAATTGTCTATGGAGGTTCCCACTTTTGGTATAGCTACGGCCTCAGCCTCTTTATGGTTTTTTGAAAACTTTAACAGCGTTATCCACCCGGTTTTACTGGTATTTGCATTTTAATGTGTAATACGTTTGAATTCAGATAATTTTATATAAAAAAATGCCCAGTCGAACATAACGTTTTTTACTTGTTACAAAGAGCCTCAACTGGCTATACAACTTCTAACAGGTAAAATAAAGGTATTTTGTAAGGGCAAAAGTCTCCAAGAATTATAAATATTGAAGGTTTAAGAGACATTTCATAGTACGTTTACAATTTACAGGACTTAGTAAACGCAGTGGATGCATGGCAGATTCCATAGGGGATTAACCCGCAAAAGAGCTCTATTGTAAACATACTGTTAAGCATTTAATCCGGATATAAATCTTCAATATGAGCATGGTATTATGTCAATCTCATTTTCCACATTTCGTTAAAAAAATAACTAATGGGACATGATTGGATTGCATAGACAAAACAAAATTGCATCCGAAGAGATATTTTGCCACTCAAATGTTCAGCAACCTTACATTTAATCTACTATTTGTCGATGGTGACCTTATGCATTTGATCCTTTGAATTTACGTCATATTTTACAATAATAAATCTTGTTGCTAGCCATTTTGGTGTTGTTGGTCTCATTAATTATTTTCAATTTTTATAGAATTGTGAAAAACAAACTGATAATGATATGTCATTTTTACTGTCTGTAACAACAATTCATGGCTTCATTGGTAACCCCAACAGACAACGGCATCACAGCATAAGAGCGGCGATGACAAGTGTTATCAGTCCCTGAACGATTTGGTTATGGCACAGTCGAAATAAAAACAAACAAACCTATTACAAAAGGTTGGCAACCTTTGTCTGATTAAAAACAAATTAAATAGCGGAGATAAGAAAGAAAAGTAATAGAGAAAAAAACAAATTGCACAAAATGTTTAACAGGTTCGTGCCCAACAAAACTCTTAGGAAAGAGAAATAAAACATAGAGAGCAAGACTCTTAGTAATTTTAACCAGCACTGCTCATCACAGTGAGTCCAAAAAAAGATTATTTAAGAGAAAAGAAAAATTGTATCCATTAATTTCAATTGTTTTTAAACTTGAATGTTGTCCAAAATTATTAATAAAGCGAATTTTTACAAAAAAAGGTATAAATTATACTTTAACACTGGTTTTTTGATTATTTAACAATTAAAAAAACTGTAAATTCGGCTTTTAATACCCCCACCATTTGGAACGAATTTGGCAGATTTCAAAAGAATAAAATCCTTTAAAAATTCTGTTAAAATTTTAAAAAATGCCGAATGTAGCCATTATTTTAGGGCCCATACGACGAAGTGGACCTGCATAGGCAATCGGTGAATAATGTAGCTAAAATCATCAAAATACCGAAAAAGGGAGGTACCATTATATGGGGGCTATACGAAGACGTGGACCTGCAAAGACATTTTTCTGTCATAAGCTGTTGTATCCATAACGAACTTCAAATACCAAATTTTCAAAAATTCCGGTGAATAATGTCGCTAAAATCATCAAAATACCGAATATTGGGAGGTACCGTTGTATGGGACCTATACGAAGACGTGAACCTGCACAGACAATCTCCTGTCATAGGCTTTAGTATTTATTACGAACTTCAAATACCAAATTTGAAACAATTCCGGTGATGTCGCTAAAATCACCAAAATACCGAAAACAGGTAGGTGCAATTATATGGAGACTATACCAAAACGTGGACATATCAAAAGTCATTATGTCCTGCAGACATAATATACATAATCTAAATCGACTTAGAATTTTACTCTGATCAAGAATATATGTACTTTGTGGGGTCTAAAATGTATATTTCGAGGTGTTACAAACGGAATGGCAAACTTAATATACCCTCTATACTAGGGTGGAGGGTATAAATAAACAAAGAGAAATTGGACTGGTGAGCGAGGTCTTGTTTTTGAGCAGCGCTGTTTTAACCAGCGGTGCTCAAGAAAAAATATCTCTTTCCAGTCAAATTTCTCTTTGCTTATTTAAATCAAGAACAAAACAGTATTAAATCATTATTTATACAAATATTTTTTATCCATTTGCTTTATAAATTATTTTGGCAGACATTAATGTTTAAAAACAATTAAAAAGAATTGTAAAATATAAAAAAACTGAATTTTAATTTTCCCTTAAATTATCTCTTTTTCGACTCATGTTCTAGAACACGGTTTTGAGCACCGCTGTTTAAACCGTTATAATGTAACGGCAAAACAATGCTTCTCTTAAGCAGAGAATCCAAGAGAAGAAATCATATCTCATTTGTTGTTGAAAACCAATGAAATGTATTATGTCACAGTGACATCTACAAAGTAGAGCCGAAGCTTCTGCCTCTCTCCCACAAATACAGAATGATGCAGTTATGGAAAATGCATTTCCTCTCATGACAAGGCTAGGGTGAGGAATCCTTTTTAACGCGCCAAACACCCACACAAGGATAACTAGGAAATGCGTCTAACAAACTAGCAATCTAAAGAGACACCGTCGTTTTAAACAAATGCCATACGAGTATACACAACAAAACTACCTTCATACACACAATGTAAATAAATAATGACAGCAAAATAAGATTATATAAAATTAAAACAAATTGTTAACGCACCATTCGCATCCTCGTCATTCAAACGGTCGCCAGGCATTTTATTAGCTATAATCCTTTGTTTAATTGCAAAAAAAATCAATTTGAAACACGTTTTTGTTCTCAATACGGCCCGACAACAGACATGACCTCCACTAAATAAGTTCAATAACAAACAACTGACAATTTGCTGTTTTTTAAACAATTTAATAACGAGCCAAACGCAAATTTCGATTTTCAATTTACTAACACACACACACCACGTAGGCAAGCGAATGAACGAACCAACGCACGCACGCACGAAAGAACGTTTATATTTGACAAAGGGACACGAAGGAAGCCAAACTGTTTGCGGCGGCGTTTTTTGTTTGTTTACACAGTGTTTAGATATTCGCCGTACTGAATGGATGATAGCTTGACCAATGGTCATAAAAATTATAGCCACAGAACGCCACAAGTATCCGTAATAGTACTATGAAAATGAAATGCGAACAAACGATACGACCAATCGAGTACAACCAGCAGAGATATTGTGTTTGTTGTTTGTTTGGCGTCGCCGCCGTTGTGGCAGCAAGGTAGTATTTTGACTTTTTTTTTGTTTTTGTATTCTAGTCCATCACATCAAGTTCAGAGATACACTTTTTACACTCTGCCACTACTGCAACAACCAACACAGATGTACGGCAATAAAAGTAATAAATTGAACAAAAAAATAGAATAAAAACAGAAAAGAAATTGTTAAACAATAATGCTGTGCTCAGCTAATACTAAAATGCAATGCAATAATCGGATGCTTACTCTCTTTTTATGCCTTTGATGCCTAAAGAGCGGCATCAGCAATATTTAAGAGGCAATTTCAACTTGTAATAGAAAGAGAGGAAACGGTTTTAAAGAGACACATTTATCTGTTGTCAACATTGTATATCACAGCTAGGAAAATAAAAATGTCACATTTCACATTGTGAAAACAGGGCACACTTTGTTTGTGTCTGGTTTCATCATAGACAAATAAATGTATAACTAAAAAGTGGTCTCATCTGTTATCTTCGAAAAAATTGCTTAAATATTCAATATTCTATTCACTCAATTCTCTCAAAATACAAAATATTGAATATTTTTATGATTTATTATTATTTATCAATCCAAGATGAAATAGTGACTTTGTTTACATTTACATTATCCGACTATGTCGTGAAATATTAAAATATAGAACTTAAATAGCAGAAAAAAGAATAAATTTTTTTCGAAGTCGATTGACTTCACTAGCCCTGAGTGACTTTACTGGCCCAAGATCAACCATAGTGACATCTGCCGGAAGGTGTAAATTTTAAAACCTTTTTGTCTATACCTTTATTGTCTATGGTTTCATTCGCGATAACTTTACTTTACAAGGTTAAGTGTCTATCAGACGAAATGTTTTTTACATATGTATTGTCAAATTTTCCATATGTAGAAGTTGCACAGATCGTGTGATACATGGACGACTTTTTAGTTGTGAAATACATGAGTAAAGTACATGCCATGGTAGAAGAATGCTGGTAGATGCATCAACGCTTGGGAATATTGATATATCAAAAAAATTGAAATACAGGTAGATGCATCAACGCGTGGGAACATTGATGGGTCAAAAATTTTAAAATGTTTTTTTTTTTTTTCAAAAATAATTAAAATTGTATTGTATATGTTATATGCATTTTTTACCATTCTTACAAATTTGAATAATTTTTCCTTCAAAAAATTCAATTCCAAAATTTGTTTGACAGTTCATTGTCTCAGCAGCTGTGTCAATACGACCACCTGTATTTTTGAAGGATTGTCATCTATTGCGAGTCTTAAATGCCAAATTTGGAAAAATTCCGTGGGTAAATGTGACAAGGATTATCAAAATACCGAATATCAGTGGGTATCGTTATATGGTGGCTATAGGAAAACATGGACCTATATATTCAATGTTCTGTCACTGGAGCGAAAACCCATTAAGAACTGCAAATACCAATGTTTAGACAAATCCATGGACAAATGTGTGCAATAATCATCAAAATACCGAATATCAGGAGGTACCGATATATGGAGGCTATGCGAAAGCGTGGACCTATATACACAATGTTTCGCACTGGAGCTAGAACCCATTATGACCCAATTTTAAGACAAATCCGTGGAAAAGTGTGGCAAAAATAATAAAAAATCGAATATCAGCAGGTACGCCGGGAATAGGCCAAAATACCGCAGAGCAACATTCGGGCAGCGTCTGACGGGTTCGTTGGCCAAAATTCGTGCCAAAGGTGACCAATTCGAACAAATCTAAACTTATTCTAAAATTTGATGCTATTTCCGGCATTTTTTGCTTTCACTCAATAAAATTAAATTTTGTAGCTCTACGTCTATGACGAATATTTAGATGTGTTTCAAACGGAATGACAAATTTTATATACCCTCCTTTTCAAGGTGGAGGGTTTAATAAGTATAAAAGCTGCTATGTTCGGCCGGGCCGAACTTTTAATGCCCTCTACCATTTTGAAGGGACTCGAAAAATTTCCAAAAAAAAATTCCGTCCAAAAATAACACTAACCGTTATATGGGGGCTATACGAAGACGTGGTCCTGCCTGTCATAGGCAGGCATTACGAACTTTGAATACCAAATTTAAAACAATCCCGGAAAAGATGTTGCTAAAATCATCCAAATACTGAATATCGGGGGTACCGTTTTATGGGGGCTATACGATATCATGGACCTATTCTATATAATTCTCTTCCAGGGATTATAGTACTCCTTTTGTAGAATTTCAGGCAATTCAATTGAAAAAATGTGGCTAAAATCACCCAAATATCGAATATCGGGGTACCGTTATATGGAGGCTATAATATATCGTGGACCCATCTTCGAACTTGGTTTTCCTGCAGACAAAAGACAGACAAGTCGTCTTAGAATTTTATGCTGATCAAGAATATATATACTTTGTTAGGTCTAAAATCGATATTTCGATGAGTTACAAACGGAATGACGAACTTAATATACCCTCCATACTATGTATGGCGAAGGGTATAAAAAGCAAATGGGTGTCCTTCTGCAAGGAAAAAAATTTGTATCTTCCAATTCAATACAGTTTTAAGTGTTATTGTTCACGCCTTTGTGGAAACATTTGCGACTTTGGAGAGTACCGCAGTACTAATACTGTACCCAGTGATGCTTTCCGTTAGCATTTAAATTCGGCACGGGATTAAAAATAGATCCGGTTGTGAGAAAATCTATTTTTGTATGGTAAATCTGGATGAATAAATCCGGATAAATTAATAAATCCTGATAATGTTGTATCCGGATAAAATTTTGTATCTAAATTCGCTATAAATTAGCCTTTATGGTCTAACCAATAATTGGTGTGTTTCAAAAAAAAAAAAAAAAACAGCCGTTACAGTAAAAATTAGATGCCTCTAACATTCATACACACATGTGTGTGTGCGTGTGCCTTTACGTCAATAGGAGGAAATATAAAACAACAGATCTTTTTAAAGAATTCGCTAAAAAGAGCTCACGTTTTTCGAAAACGCAAAAGATGATGGCTATAAATAAAAATGGACAAAACATACACATACACTCAAACAAATACACAGTAATGGGTGACAATGGCAACGGAAGAAAACGCAAATTGTTCTGAAAATACATTAGCCCCAAAAACAACAAAAGAAAAACACAAATATTTCACTAAACCAAAATTAATCACTCTCTTATCTGGCGTAATCACCGGCCAACCAGTGTGAATGTCAAGGAAATACCATAAACAAATGTCAAATATCCAATAAATCCATTTGGACAGAACACAACCCAGCAAGCAAAATCTATCCACCAACTCACATAGAAGTCACGCCTAAGCGATTGAAATCATCGCGTCTGATATCGCTTTCTCACCCCGGAAGGATCATCCTTCGGGAAGAGATGAACCACGCCCGCGATAGTTTTCTAAAAATCGTGGAAGTCACTTCCTCGATAGTTATTGGAAGTGAAAAAACAAAAAACAAAAACAAATTTTTTTACTCCAGACTTAAGCATTTATTATTTTTTTATTGTTATTGTTACGTTTTCCAATGTTAATTTACATAGAACTCTTACTTATTAGATGAAATATTCAAACATTTTTTTTTTCGTTTTAAAAATGTGATGTCTGGATTGGGAATCGAACCGAGGTGTTCAGAGAGCAAAGCTGGCATGCTTACCACTGCGCCATAGTGTCTTATATTCCTCAGATAGAATAAAGTCTTATTTATGTTCAATTCGTAAATAATGGCAAACTATCACTGTTTTATCCGATGGCAGTAACTAGATAGTGTCTGCACACGCGACACATTCTTTTAACTTTCTTGGCGCCACTAAGTAGTAACTACGTGACGATAGAAAGTAGACAACAGTAGTTTTGTTATTGTAAATGTACATACTATCGCATTTAATAGGATTAGAAGCGTCGCAGAAGTGGCATCTTAAAATGGAAGTGAGTCACACACTTCCAAATGCTTGCTGGGAACATACTTGAAGAAGAAACCACGTGTTTCTGCACAACTACACACTCAACACGTGCAACAGTGAGTGTTCGTGTGTGTGCAAAAACAAACAATTCTCATTGCATTGCAAATGCTCCACTCTCAGCGTTCACTCTCAATTTGATATTTAAAAAAAATGTGCATCACACTCTCACACAAATTAGTATGGGTACACACAGAAATAATAACAATAAAAAAGTAAACTTACTTTTTCCTCGTTGTAAAATTGTATTTCCTCTTCGTCTTTTAACGACTTTTTTTCGGTTTTCTTTTTGACAAAAATACACGTTCTACATGGAACACGCGGTCTTAATGCCAGACAAAACTTAGTTAACGACAAAATGTTTTGGTTCCTCGCAAATCTGCAGCTGTAATCCTTACGATGCACCACAATTCGTTCTACCAGACACACACACAATTACACTCAGCCAGCCAACAATATTTCCGATTGTTGGATTATGCGATTACGGTTTCAGTTTAGTTGTTGCCCAAACAAAAGCTGATTTCGTTATGCTTTGGCATCTCTTAAACTCCAAATACTTCAAGTCCAAAAACTCTCTGAAAAAATTCCAAGTCACACACAAAGGTACGCATCATCGAAGCAACACTATCGCAAAATCTAAAACTCATAAACAACACACGCTCAGAAGAGCAATGTGTGTACGTACATGTACATGAATTGTATAAAAAGTAAACTTTGTATGAAATGGAATGACAAAGCAGAATCGAGATAAAACAAATGAACACAAAACTCAATATTAATGAAAACAAGCCGGTTACTCACAGAAATCAGTGGCGTAGTTGCTTCTTTTTTTTTGACTGCTTGTATCTACATGCAGGCATAGGGACGTATATTAGCCAGAGATATTTCAGAACACAAATCTTCCAATACCCTCCTCCTTGAGGTCATGGTAAAATTAATTCAAGGTAACCTCATTTTAAATTATAATATCCAGCTCTGCATTTTCTGTAATTTATGTTGTGAAAC